AATGGACATTAAACTTTTCAAATAATGTAGAGGATAATGATTTTGGTTTTTCATTAGATGCACGCTGATTTTTTAGGATATTCAACTTTTGTTACGAAAAATAATGTAGAGGATTATTAAATCGAAATCTTATATTTATATTTGTTACTATTTTTAAACTAAACTAATATTTTAAAATTTTGAATGTTCTACAGAAGATCACAATAATATCTTATTTTATTATTATAATTTTGCTAACTAAAGTATGTGAAAACATATGTGCACGTAAATGGAGCACCGCCTTTACAAAAAGTATGAATTATTAAGTAAACGATTTGATCAATATGATTTTGTTATTATAATTTTGCCGACTGAAATATATGAAAATATATGTGCATGTATTCCATATGAATATAGTATTATAATATATATATATAAATATGTGTGTATCTATATGGAAAGTTACAGTGATCCACGACAGAGCTATAGTAAATTTAATATATATAATATAGTATTATCCATAATATTATAATATATATATATATATTAAAATCATCACGTTCAGCCCAAAATTCATATGCTATTACCCATATAGATGAATAATAATATCAGACTATTCATAATGCATCTGGCGAATCATTCATTTAGTTATTAGTACACTAAATTTGTCACCTATTAAATTTTTTATAAATGAAAATATCACAAAAAAACTTTTTGCCATGTCATAAACCACATGTGTTAGTAAATGCCATGTCACAATTACATCATCATTACACATCATCATTTCCATATCACATTTAATTAGGATAGAAAAAGGATTTTAACCAATTAAATTAAAATAAATCAGCATTTTTCATTAAACTACATTCTCAATTAATAGGTAGAGGATAATGTTGCTTCTGACAACAATATAATGTATAATTATTGTATGTTTCTTTTCTATTAATGAAGTTTATTTTGGATTTATTAATGTTTATGTTAATTACAGAAATGGATCGCAATACGAATGAAACAATATCCAAGAAATGGATTCGAAAAACTTGTATACCAGATAGTGGAACGACACTCACTATTCTGAGACAAAATAGATTTTTTTTCTAGTTTGAAATCGACAAATATCATTGTCAATACAATTTCAGGTCCTGTAAACTTGATTGAAGGAATTGGTAAAGCCAACTTTACGTTGCCGAATGGGACAAAATTTTCCATAAATAATGTTCTGTATTCTCCAAATTCTAGAAGAAATTTTTTGAGTTTTAAAGACATATACCTTCAAGAATATGACACACAGTCTGCAACTGAGGGCGGAAAGAAGTATATGTACATAACTTCTAATCAATCAGGCAAAAGGCTTATATTGGAAAAGTTCCCCGAACTTTCTTCTGGTTTACATCATACTTATATAGATGCAGTAGAATCTCATCTCGTGATCAATAGAAATCCATATGATTTCACATTATGGCATGATCGCCTCGGTCACCCAGGCACCTCAATGATGCGTAAAATCGTAGAGAGCTCACATGGTCATTCACTAAAAATCTAGGAGATATATCAGGGAAATAAAAAGACATGTGCTGCATGTTCTCTTGGAAAATTGATCATAAGGCCATCACCAATCAAAGTCGATATAGAATCACCAAATTTCTTTGAACGAATTCATGGAGATATTTGTAGACCAATACATCCACCATGTGGACCTTTCCATTATTTCATTGTACTAATTGACGCATCCAGTAGATGGTCACATGTTTATTTATTATCATCTCGAAATATGGCATTTACGAGATTTCTAACTCAGATAATCAAACTGTGAGCCCAGTTTTCTGAATAGTCTATTAAGAAAGTTAGATTAGACAACGTTGGTGAATTCACATCCCAAGCATTTAATGATTATTGCATGGTAACAGGAATTAAAGTTGAACATTCTGTAGCCCATGTTCACACACAAAATGGTTTGGCTGAATCATTAATCAAGCGTTTGCAATTGATTGCAAGACCATTGATCATGAGATCAAAACTTCCAACCTCTGTAGGGGGACATGTAATTTTGCATGCAGAAGCACTCATTCGGATAAGGCGAAGAGCGCATCATAAGTATTCTCCATTACAGTTAGCATTTGGTCGAGAACCAAATGTTTCTCATTTAAGAATCTTGGGTTGTGCAGTATATGTGCCAATAGCACCACCACAACGAACAAAGATGGGACCACAAAGAAGGTTAGGAATATATATTGGTTATGATTCTTCTTCAATTATACAGTACCTAGAACCACAAACAGGAGATGTATTTACGGCACGGTTTGCCGATTGTCATTTTGATAAAAATGTATTCCCGGTTCTAGGGGGAGAAAATAAAGAAATAGGAAAGGATATAAAATAGAGTGTACCAACATTGTTGCACCTTGATCCTCCCACTAAACAGTCTGAACTAGAATTTCGACGAATTATGTATTTGCAGAGTATAGCCAATCAGCGACCATATGCATTTGCAGATACCAAAACAGTAACTAAATCCCATATACCAGCTGCAAATGCTCATGCTCAAATCGAAATACCACAAGAACATGAAAGAGAAGACGATACACGTGAGTCCAAAACACGCTTGAAGCGTGGTAGACCTGTCAGTTCTAAGAATACAAAACATAGAAAGCAAAAGGAAGCTGAAATGCAGAGCACACCCAAAATAGCGGAAGATATTTTGGAGAAAGAAAATAATGAGATAAATGATAACGCAGAACATCATGAATCGAAGGAAATTATGAGATTTCTATCAATTATATCCATAATAGAAAAATATAGAATCAAAATGAAATAAATGATGTTGATGACGTTTTCTTATACCTTGTGTCTAAAGAAATAGATCAGGAAAACGAAGATCCAGAACCTAAGTCCATGTATGAATGTCAAAAGAGACATGACTGGATAAAATGGAAGGATGCTATACAAGTGGAACTTGATTCGCTTAATAAGTGTAATGTATTTGGACCTATTATGCTCACACCTATAGATGTGAGACCAGTTTGATATAAATGGGTATTCGTTTGAAAACAAAATGAGAAAAATGAAATTATGAGATATAAGGCTCATCTCGTAGCCCAAGGTTTTTCTCAAAGACTTGGAATAGATTATGAAGAAACATATTCTCCCGTTATGGATACAATCACATTTAGTTTCCTAATGAGTCTAACAGCTGATGAAAATCTAGAGATGCGGCTTATGGATATCGTTACAAAATATTTATATGGAACATTATATACTGATATATATATATATGAGGATTCCTGATGGATTTAAGATGCCAGCAGCATTAGTTCCAAACCCAAAGAGTTATGTTCAATAAAATTGCAAAGATCAATATATGGGTTAAAGCAATCTGAACGTATGTGGTACAATCGTCTTAGTGAAGTTCTAACGAAAGAAGGATATGTGAATAATCCAATATGCCCATGTGTTTCATCAAGAAAACAACATCCGAATTTTTAATAATCGCGTTATATGTTGATGATCTAAACATTATTGGAACTCAAGGGAAAATACAAAAGAAATCAAATTATTTGATAGGAGAATTTGAGATGAAAGATCTCTGATAGACAAAGTACTGTCTAGGCCTACAAATTGAACATTATTATAATGGTATTTTCATACATCAACCCACATATACCAAAAGAGTATTAAAAAGCTTTAACATGGATAATGCAACTCCTCTAAGTACCCCTATGGTCGTTAGATCACTTAAGATTGAGAATGATCTATTCCGACCACATGAGGAAAATGAAGAGATACTTGGTCCTGGAGTACCATATCTAAGTGCAATTGGAGCTTTTATGTACCTTGCAAATTGTACGCAATCTGACATATCATTTGCTGTTAATCTTCTGGCAAGATTCAATTCATCTCATACACAAAGACATTGGAATAGGATTAAACATGTTTTCCGTTACCTTCAAGGGACCACTGATTTAGGGTTTGTTTTATCCAAAAGGTTCAGATGGACAAATGGTTGGTTTTGCAAACGCATGATACCTATCAGATCCACGCAAAGCCAAATCTCAGACAGGATATGTTATCACAATCAGAGGCACGACTATATCTTGGCGCACTCAGAAACAGACGCTTGTGGCCACCTCTTCGAATCATGCTGAGATCATCGCACTTCATGAAGCAAGCAGAGAATGTATATGGTTAAGGTCAATAAGCCAACACATTCGATCAAGCAGTGGAGCTCACGTAAATACGGAGCCAACTATCTTGTATGAAGATAATGATGCATGTTTTGCTCAAATGAAGGAAGGATATATCAAAAGTGATAGAACCAAACATATCTCTGTGACAATGCAGCAGATCTCTTCACAAAATCATACCCACCACTGTGTTCAGAAAGTATGTCCATAATATTGGAATGCGTCAACAACAAGACCTATAAGATGACAGTCTGTTGTACTCTTTTTACCTAGCTATGGTTTTTGCCACTGGATTTTCCTGGAAAAGTTTTTAACGAGACAACAAAGGCGTTAAACAGTAAACAATAGTGACACTGGTCTCCAAATGGGGGTTTATGAAATGTCAACAATATAAGGCTCCTCAAGGGTCAATAATATAAGGCTTCTAAAGTCAGAAATATATGAAACGTGATAAAACAAGTTATGAAGCCCATTGTCATTATGCACACAGTAAAATCATCTTTTTACTGTATATAAATAGAACGATCTTCGATCATTTGTAATACACAACTCATTCTCTTAATATAAAAACAGTATAAGCTTCTTTCTCTCTATTTTTCGTCTCTTTCTATAATATCCCATTTTTTTGCAGGTATAATTTTTTTGTTCTTATTCATATTTATCTATACAATAAATTATATAGCCTATTATCACATTTATGAATATTAATGTGTATATATCAGGAATGGGAATGCTGCTTAATAGTATCAATAATTTAGGGTTTCAACTGACCCCACACGGCCTTGACTTGTGTGGTGGTGACTAAGTCATTCAGCGTCAAGTTGTATCAAAAAATTCCATCACTCTGCAACTGCTATATTATATGTGCAAATCATAAATAACTTTTTTATAATTCAAGTGTCTTCGTCAACCTCTAGATCTAAATGTGACTTTGAACTTCTCCAGATTTTTAATTGGCTCTTTATATCAAGAAAACTTTTTTTGGGCCACAGATCCGGCTCTGTGTGCAAATCATACATCTACTCAAAATTCTCTATAATATCTGTCTTCCTTGTTTTTTTTTGTATGGCTTCATCTTCTTCTTCTCCCTCCTCCTCTTCTTGCAATTGGCCATACGACATATTTCCGAGCTTCAGCGGAGAAGATGTCCGCAAGACATTCCTCAGCCACTTTCTAAAGGAGCTAGATCAGAAACTGATCATTGCTTTCAAAGACAATGAGATTGAGAGAGGCCAATCGCTTGATCCCGAGCTTAAACAGGCGATTCGGGGTTCAAGAATAGCCGTGGTCGTGTTCTCCGAAAACTACGCCTCTTCCAGTTGGTGCCTTAACGAGCTGCTTGAGATCGTGAAATGCAAGAAAGACTTGAACCAAGTGGTGATACCGATTTTCTACCGTTTGGATCCTTCCCACGTGAGGAAACAAAATGGAGACTTTGGGGAGATCTTTGAGAAGACATGCCAAAATAAATCAGATGACGAGAAAATTCAATGGAGGAGAGCTTTGACCGATGTAGCTAACATTTTGGGATATCATATAGTCACCTGGTATGGATTTTTATTAAGAATTTTCATTTGTTTAAATATTCCATTTGGCTTAAATGTGAAAATAGGACTTTTCTAAGGAAAAATTGCATTGAGTTTGTTATTAGTTTGCTTTGAATCTGTTATTACTCTGTATTTAGTTTATTTTCAGTCATATAATAAATTAATTCTGCTATTAGTCTAGTTTAAATTTAGTTAGTCATTAGTTTGCAATAAGAAAATAAAATAAGTATAAAGTTAGCGTTGATATTTATAAAATACTAGATTAGGACCCGTGTATACACGGATTTGAAATTTGTTTAAAACTTGTAAAAAATAGGTTGAAAACAAAAATAAATATCTTTAATTATAGTTATTTCTGTATCTATATTCAATTTTTTTGTTAGTTAAAATGTTTATTATATGTGGTAAATTTGATTTATTGACTCACATACATTACAATTAATTTAACTTAGATTGTAATCTCTACATACACTGATTTATATTAACTATTATATAACCCGTTTAAAAAAATAAATATGAAAAAGTAAAAAATAAAATTAGATCATCGTGAACATTAGAAATTAGGATTGAGAATATTTTACAAAATCACTTAGTGATTGAAAACCTTGGCTTTCTCTTTTATTCCATGTTTACTTTTATATTTTTTTACAAAAATGATTAACATAAAAAGTAAAAAATAAAATTAGATCATTATAAACATTAAAAATGTAAGATTGAGAATATTTTCAAAAACTACTTATAATATAAGTGATTAAAGAAACTGGCTTTCTCCTTCATCCATGTTTACTTTTATATTTTTAATAAATATAAATGAACATGAAAAAGTATAAAATAAAATTAGATCACTGTGAACATAAAAAATAAGACTGAAAATATTTTTGCAAAACAACTTATAATAAAACAGATTAAAGAAACTGACTTTCTCTTTCATTCCGTATTTTTTTTTCTCACAAATATAATTTTTTCTAAGAAAATCTCATCAAGAATCTCATTTGGTAAAATAGTATCAGAGCAAAATTGGCTATCTCCTTCATTTTTTCTTCTGCAATTCTGATTGTTTTTCGTCACTTCAATAGTTTTCCATCTTATCCAATTGATTTGAGTTTAAGAGAAGAATCAGCCAAAAAAAAATCATAGAGGTTTTTTATGTATTTATAAAGATGTGAGTAATAATTTTCTTTTTCTTTTAGGATTAGTCTTTACTTTTTTAAACTGTTTTTTATTTTTAGTTGAAGTATTTAATTTTTATTTTTTAATATATTCCTTTTTAGATATTGTAGTAGTTACATATATATATTCTTTTTAATAATTATGCTTTTTTTAATATTTAATTTAATTGCAACATGTGTCAAAATCTTAATCGAAAAACTTGACATGTGTCACGATCACGTAAATCACTAACATATATAAAATTTGCTACATATTTCAAAAACAAATTGGTTTCTCATTTATTTTGCTTCTTCAATCTGATTGTTTTTCATTGATTTATCAATTCCTTATCTTATTCGTTTGATTCGAGTCTAAGAGAAAAAACCAGCCTAGTAAAATTATAAGAGATTTTATATGTTTATAGAGATGTGAATAATATTTTTCTTATTCTTTTAGGATTAGTTTTTACTTTTTCTGAAAACAAAGTTTCATTTTCCTAATTGAAATATATATATTTTTAACAATAGTGATATTTCCTAAATTTATATTTATTTTTAATTTAATCATGACACTTGTCAAAATCTGAATCAAATGATTTGCCACCTATCATAATCATATGAATTACTAATTTTGAATCCAACTTCATATAATAAGATTATTTCTAAAATTTTCTTTAGAAATTTTTATGTTTGACATTATTTTTCTTTATTATAAGTCATTTAATTTTGGTCATTTTTTTCTTTTGTTATTATGTTGTTTAACACACATCGTTATTTCTATTATTGTCCTTTATGGTTTGTTTTTTCTTTTTCTTAGGGCTAACGAAGCAAACATGATAGAAGAAATAGTCAATGATGTTTTGGGTAAACTAAATTTATCTGCATCAGCTAATTTTGATGAGTTTGTCGGAATTGAAGATCATATCAAAAAGATGAGTACATTGTTGTACTTGGAGTCCGAAGAAGTGAGGATGGTTGGGATATGGGGTCCCTCTGGAATAGGCAAGACTATCATTGCAAGAGCTCTATTTACTAGACTCTCTCGTCTGTTCCAAAGCAGTGTCTTCATAGACAAAGTTTTCATATCTAGAAGTACTAAAGAAAGAGCTGGTCTAGTTGACTATAACACGAAGTTGGATTTGCAACGAAATTTTCTAGCGTTACTTTTAGACAAAAAAGATATAAAGATAGATCACATAGGTGGGATTGAAAAGATGCTCAAGCACCGAAAAACGCTTATCGTTATTGATGATTTGGATGATCAAGATGTGCTAGATGCCATAGCGGGTCAAACACAATGGTTTGGGAGTGGGAGTAGAATCATTGTGGTTACTAAAAATAAGCATCTCTTAAGGGCCAATAGGATTGATAAGTTTTACGAGGTCTGTCTCCCATCTTATGACCTTGCTCTTGAGATGTTTTGTCGATCCGCTTTCAGGCAGAACTCTCCACCCGATGGCTTTTCTGAGCTTGCTTCTGAAGTTATATCGCTTGCCGGTAACCTTCCGTTGGGTCTTGAAGTTTTGGGGTCTTCTTTACGTGGTAGGGACAGAGAAGACTGGATGGATATGATGCCAAGGCTTCGAAATGGTTTGGATGGAAAAATTGAGAAAACACTAAGGGTGAGTTACGAGGAACTAAATAACAAGAAAGATGAAGCAATATTTCGTCACATTGCATGTCTTTTCAATGGTGAGAGTGTCAATGACATCAAGCAGCTACTAGCAGATAGTAACTTGGATGTTAATATTGGGCTAAAAAACTTAGTTGATAAATCCCTTATTAAAGAAAGTTACCATATTGTATTGGACATGCAGTCTTTGCTACAAGAGCTAGGTAAAGAGATTGTCCGTGCACAGTCCGATGAGCCTGGTGGTGACTGGGATGTTAATGCTTTGTTTCAAAACGTAGTTGAGAAATTTGTTCATGAAAGAGACCATAAAACCGTGGAAATGCACTCTTTGGTTCAAGAGCTCGGTAAAAACATTGTCCGCGAACAATCTGATGAGGCAGGTAATAGGGAATTCCTTGTGGATTTAACGGATATTTGCGATGTACTTGAAGACGACACTGTAAGTTTTTTTTTTCGTGCAAAGTAAATCTCACTCTTGCATGTCATTTGACTACTCTTGAGCTAATTAGCTTTGTCTCCTTTTCAGGGTACTACTAAAAAGGTTTTGGGTATAGCATTGAATGTAGATGAGACAAATGAAGTGGATATACATGAGGATGCCTTCAAAGCAATGCGCAATCTCCTTTTTCTAAAAATGTCCACTAAGAAAGAATGGAATTTACCAGAAGGCGTCAACTATTTCCCCCCTAAACTAAGACTATTGTCTTGGGATAACTATCCAATGAGATTTTTGCCAACTAACTTTCGTCCTAAAAATCTTGTTAAGATCCAAATGCGGGAGAGCAAGCTAGAGAAGTTGTGGGATGGAGTTCAAGTAAGTTTTTTTTTTAAGTAAAATTATTCGTAGTATCGAGATTAGTCTATTCTTATAATAAAGTGTAACTTAGTTACTTCTACTTCAGTCACTTACAGCGCTGAAGAATATGGATTTGCGGGGATCTAAGAATTTAATAGAAATTCCAAATCTTTCCAAGGCCACTAGTCTCGAGACCCTTATTCTCAGCTATTGTTCAAGTTTGGTGGAGCTTCCTTCCTCTATTCAGCATCTCAACAAACTGAAAGAACTGGACATGTCATTCTGCATTAGTCTCGAGACTCTTCCCACTGGAATCAACCTCATATCTCTTGGCAAAGTCAATCTCAATGGATGCTCTCAGTTGACGAGGTTTCCCGATATCTCAACCAACATCTCTGAGCTAAGTCTAAGAAAAACAGGGATTGTAGAGGTTCCTTGGTGGATCGAGAACTTATCTCGCCTCGAATGCCTATACATGCATGGATGCAGCAAGTTACAACGTGTCTCCCTTCACATGACTAATCTCAAGTATCTTAATATCGCTGAGTTTTCAGAATGCGGGGCATTGGCGGAATGCAGCTGGAGTCATGATGATAGTTCAAGTGAGGTGACAATGTCAACAGACGATATCCAACCAAAGTTTATTGACGATCCTTCTTGTCCCCCAAAGGGTTACTTCTCAATGCTGAATCTTAGTTTCGTTGACTGCTTCAACTTCGATGCAAATGCTCTTATCAGTCAACAGTCAGCTTTCATGACACTGATACTACTAGGTGAAGAAGTGCCTTTGTATTTCACTCACCGTGCTACTGGAGCCTCTCTTAGTAGTATCCCACTACCTAACATCTCTACCTCGCAACCGGTCTTCAGCTTCAGGTGTTGCGTCGTGGTCGATGCTACTGGACCTGATTCGTTTGAGGTCGGGATTTGTTTAGGTTTCATGGACAGACTCGGGAACCTCTTGGAATATTTTGATATGATACAATGCTTCTCGGCAGATGTACAGAAGTCAGGTAGTTATCTGGCTATATTCGACTATTACTGCCCTCTAACCGTAGAGATTACTCCTCTGGTTGATCAGCTCAAGAACGGTCATATGGATATACAGTTTTGTCTCACACGTGACGATTCCAAGCTTCAAATAAAACGTTGCGGTATACAATTTCCCGATCGAGAACGGTCAAGCAACCATGCTAACTTTGGGGGGCCATGAGACTGAACACAGTCAAGAGTAGCAGTACGAGAAAATGTGGATGGTAAGTTGCTTCTTGAGATAAACTACATTATTAATAATCCCTTTTTTTGTTAGGAAACTATTTTATATTAAAAAAAAACTGAATGGATTGTTTCTGCAGATCAATAGGAGGGTTCCTAAAAGAACAACGAGCATGGATTCTTTTGGCTTCTTGCCATCCACAAAAGAGCATGTCCAATATGTAATCCTAGACATAAACCAAAAATCTGTGGATATCTCTTTGGTACAATGGTTTGGTTAAAAGTTCATTAATGTATAATACTAGGAAACTAGGTGTGCGAGATTCGATTAAATTTTTTTAAAAATATAACATTGGTTTATTTATAGATAAAAAATCAGATTTTATAATGATTCGAAACCAAACTAAATATATTTGAAAAAATACAATTTTTATGAGTATATTGTTTTTTGTGATAAAACAAAATATATTATTTATATCTTATTTTTAATATATTTTATATTATCCGATGAAAACTTATATCTATGCTTTGTTGTTTTGTTGCATTTTTAAAACATGATAAATAATTCTCTTCTTTTGATGTAAATTAGTAGATTAAGATTAATGAAATTTAAAGTTTGCATAAAAAAAAATAACATAGCAATCCAAAATGACCAAAACCAAAGAATCTTTGTTTCATATCAACTTAACATTAACTAATATATATAGAGTTTTAAAAGGGTTTAAATGATTTATGGGTTTACTTGTGATCGCATAAATCAATTAGGCTTGTCAAAATATTAGTAGGTTAAATAATCAAATTAAAATTAGTTTAATAAAATAATTAGGTTTTCTTTTTGATTTATGCTAGTTACTTTCTTTTACAAAAATCAATTAAAAATTAGATTATATTAATTTGTTAATTTTATTAAGGTAATTAAAGTAAATTTATATAAAGAGAAAAAAGTAATCAATTATCATAACTCTCAACCACAGCCCAACTTGCTTCTCAATTAATAATGTGATATGGATCTCAAATCTCAGAAAATACAATTTATTATTAGTTATACATATTAGTGCAGACAAGCTTACATTCGCTTACATGCGATCTTTAGCGTGATGTAAATAAAAAGGTCAGTAGTAGATTTTCATAAAATAATAAACATGGTACAATGGTACAAGTGGAGGTGTGTTAATTGTAGATTCTCATATAAAAGTAATTTTGTCCTTTATATAATCGTTTATGTAATAGTTTTCATAATTTATAATAAAATAATAAATCATGAGTTGTTTTGTTAGAGCGGAGAAAATGAAGATGCAAGTTTTTCATAAACGTTTTACTGAGAGTTTGTGAGAGAGAATGATTAGACTTTGTCGAGTTTATATTTATTATTACTAAATATATTCCTTGAGATCTGGCTAATTAATAAAGACTTACTCTTTTATCCCACAAATTTCTATTATTTAGACATCTTACAATACTAAAGAGAAGAACATGAACAAGAAAAATACCGTTAAAAAAGGAAAGGGTTCCATGTAGCTAATTGAGTCACTCGATTTAAATCAAATTAAACAAATGTGGCGCATAACCAACTGCTCCATTAAACACTGGTGTGACTTTGTTGTCTTCCCCAACAACGTATACAGCGTCTTTGTCCGACATGGATTCGTACTCGGTCCATCTATCACAACACACGAGGACTTTCTTCTAAGATACATCCACTGTGAAGACCTTGTTCCACGACACCACTTTGGTCTCATCATCAATCTTATTTGCTACCCATATCTCTTTCTTAGATGTCTTTAGGCCTTGTATTAACAAGGAAAGTTTCTCTTCTCTAACAACGGATAAAGCCACAGTTTCACAACCAACATCAGGAATCTGACACCGATCAAGATCCATACGTTCAAATCTTTCTCTTGTATAATCAAAACTGATTAAGAACATGTGTTTTTCTTCTGTATTTGAACCAAACCAGTAGCTCTTTCCTTTCAAATACACCGCGATGTTCATATAACTTGCCGCAAGGAGGGATGGCGTCAAGAATCCATATCTTGATCATGATAAGAACCGATTGGTGTGATCCAATACAAGGGTTCCAAACCAAGATTCTAGTTTGGTCTTTGATGTGCAGTAAGAGACTTCGTCTGTTTTGGTTTTAGCTGAATTATTTAGGGGAAGATCACCTTTTACCCTATATGGACTTTCAAGAAGCTTGACGCTCGTCGTATCAACCCCAAGCTTCGTCAACCTAAGAACCTGAAAGGCAGAAACTGCTTTCTGGCTTTGTCCAAGTGGTTTCTTGCGAATCTGCTATCGTTGAATAAACTGTTCCATGGTTTGCAAGGCCGTAACCGTTTCAGAGATGTGGCCGGAACGTGACAGAGTATCTCCGGGAAGGTCAGGCATCATTGTGATCTCTTTGTCAAGGAAGAAAGTGTCTCTGGCTTGACTATTATGAAATTGTTTAGGTTTTCGTACGCTGCTGACGTTTCATAAAGTTTGAACTCTTTCCTATTAACTGTTTGATTTCTATTTTCTAAAAAAAAATCCTTTTTCTTGGAGGTTTCTGTTATGACCCCAAAAAGGATAAATTAACGGTATTATTGTAAGTGAAGACAAATTTTTATTGAGAAAACCTAATCTTTTTCCAAAAAAAAAAAAAGTGTTGAGTACAAATTCGAAATTTTTTTTGACAAAACCAATTCCAAAGATTAATTTAACAAATCTTCCAACTCTCTCAAAATCAAAAGCTCATTCCTACTAACATTTAAGGTTGCAGACAATTACGGCTGGACAACTAAAAAATTAAAAATTTTAAACATATACAAAAATTATTTAAAATCAAAATATATATAAGATTTTTTAAAAACAAAATTTGAAATATTATAATTATAAAATATATAAATAATTTTGATACTTTTTTTTGACAATAATTTTGATACTTTATGGTCTAAAATTAATATTTATTAACTATTAATCATAATTTTATATTTATAAGATTTTTAAACTATAACAATTTAGATAGATTTTCTTTCTTCCATTAATAATTATATATATATAATAACTAAAATTATTTTAATATAATTTTAATATTCAAAAAACAATAATTTTTATTTAAAGTAAAAATATTAATAAATAAACATAAGTATTATGCATATAATATTCTTATAATTTTTATTATTAATTATAATGAATTTATAAATTTATATTTTTTTCATAATAATATATTTTATTATATTTTAATTATATAATATATTTACATTATTATTTTGTTGTGTAATCGTTGTTGCACCCGCTGACTAACTAGTCAAAAATGTTCAGCAAATACATCTACTCTCAATCACTATATCAGTCATATAAATCGCTGGTTAACATTATTAATCGCAATCATCTGCTTTCACAAACTCCCGCATCTGCACCCAGAACTACAACTACTGCGTTTAAACCAAAAATTCAGACACAAACTTGCATTGTCCGTCTTCAGAAATCTGAGTGTCTAAATCAAACATAGAAGAAGACGAATAATTTATTTTCCTAATCAAGCAAACAGAGAACGAATACCAATATTCATTTTCTCATGCGTTAATCTTGAGATCAAACGTCCCCCAATCATCATCGATCTGTCTGTTTTCAACTCCATCAAAGTGATCTCCCCGTGCATTGTCAGCGAGTACAAGTGCAACTAACCAGTCACACACCATTGATAACATGTTATGATACCTAGATAGACAAATTTCAGCAAGATCAATCATATTTTATTCCTAGATAGACGAAATCTAGAGTTTTATTCGCAAAATTATCACAGAGTGGAAAATAAAGTAAATAAATAAGTGTTGGTTAACAAGCCACAATTTCACATGCTGTCCGTTTAAAATCATTGTTTGAAATAAGCAGAAACACTCATTCGTATATGTATCTATATTATTTACATGTTGTACGTTATTTACATTTGATTACATTCTTTTATGTATCACATTCTTATTAATTTTAAATTTGATACATACATTGTCGAACCAGAAAATCACTGAGGTGATTTTGTGATCGTTGGTTTGGATTTTAGAGGATAAATTTTTATTCAAAAGTTTAAGGGTAAAAGCAATCATAGGGGTGGCGTAACCTATAAGTTTTACCGAAATGAAAGAAAGTATTTAATGCTATGAAAACTAAAAAGCTTTGAAATTTTTAGGTCTTGTTCTGATGCTCTCTAAAATGTATGAGTTGGTCTTCAAGCTATCCGAGATCTTCTACTTATGAAATTAGGAAGTTAGCTGTTACAAACTCTTTTTTTTTTCTTCTTTAATGAATATTTTCATATTCGGCAATATAAAAATATCTTTTTCCTCGATAATAAAGGAAATTCTCCATTATCTTCGTATATTCTTTCTTAGCTCTTAAGTTGATCTTGATCTTATGGAAACTAGTCATTATTTTCAAATAGTTTTTATTTATTTAAATGTATCAATGCATCTGTCTTGGTTTTGATAGACTTAGGTTATTACTAAATTTTTTTTTTTAAAAATTATGCTTATTTCCCCTTTAACATACATATATTCTAAAAAACTTATTTTTATATTTATTTACATTATATAGATTTGTTTGACTTGCCTAATAATCATGAAAAAACCAACTACAGTAAAAAGCAAGAATAATATATTTGAATTCAAACGTCCCAAGTCAAACAAAATGAGTATAACAAATCTTAGAAAGAGATTAGAAGTTTTTTTAAAAAAATAGTCAATTAGGAAACACATTTATTTATTAATTTGAAATAAGCAGCGAAAACACTCATTCTTATAAAGTATGTATCTATATTATTTACATTTGATCAGGTTTTGTACATTAATTACATTTGATTAGCTTATTTACATTCTTATATATATCACATTCTTGTTAATTTTGATTCATACATATATTCTAATAAACTCATTTTTGATATTTATTTACATTACATACATTTAATTGGCTTGCCTTAATAAACATGAAAAATTTCACCTACATTAAAAAACAAGACTAATA